CCCCAAAACCCCAAAACCCCAAAACCCCAAAACCCCTCAGCCCCAAAGGAATATTGAATGCCTAAGCCTCCCCCTTCTCCACCCCTCTAAGCCCCTTCTCTCCCCTCCCCATCCCTGACCCCCTTCACTATCAGCCCCTCGTTCACAAAAATCAAGAACAAATTTACAAATTATCTGAAGTTCTTATTAAATCATATTTATAAAAATCTCACTGCCTGCTGTAGGCCTGAGACAGGCCCCCTTGCTTGCTTACTCCTGTACTGCATACTTCTGCTTAGTGTATCTCTCGATGTCCAACTTTACGTTCCTCTTGGAGTAGGTTGTTTTTATTTTTAGGAATTCGCCTTTTGGAGTCGAGATTATTTTTAGCCAATCTGGAGAAGCTGAGCATAGGTCTTCAAGCTTTTCTCTGAGGTTGGTAGTTGATTCGAACCTCCCTTTTGTTGTGTCTGATAGTAAAGACAATACCTTTTTCAGTGGAAGAGAGCTCAAGTTTCTTACTGAGTAAATTGATTTGATGGAGTCGATTAGTCTGGTCAAAATGTCTTGTTCCATCTTTGGTTTGTTCTTTTTAAACTCTAGTTCTTTCTCCTGCTTCTCCTGAGAACTAGCACTTTCTCTCAATTGGATCCTTTCGAGCAAGTCTATTGGGATCCCCTTGATTGTCTTCACAGTAGCACTTGGTTTGGACTCAAGCTTAATCTTAGTCTTCTTGATCGAAGAAAGAGCATTTGGATGTACATCTTCTTCGTGATCAGATGAGCGTTCTCTACTTCCAGAAATGTTTGCCAAAGAAAACTTCTTCTGTATGCTTCTATTCCTCTTCATGAATTCAGAGACACTTTCACTTCTCTTAGCAGCTTTGGGCTTTCCCATGATCTCCTTGGGTTCAATGGGTGGGACTCTTTTGTGGGGATCAAATTCATGGTACCATCCTCCCATTTGGATTGGATCAAAATCTTCCAAATAATCTTTGAGATTTGGTCTCTTACTGATAACTTGTCTAAGGAACTTCTGATGGTGTTCATTGGCTTTTTCAAAAAGCTTGTTTTTGAACTCATCCTTCCTCTTTTGGATGGCTGAGGGTATCTCAAGAGCTCTATCAGGTACATCAAGTACCAAGCTGTATCCTCTTTTGCCCTTTAGATCTTTCCATTCATAGGTGTAAGAGTCTGGAGATACGGTTAAAATCTGGCCAAAATTAGCTTTGTTAAAATTTCTTTTTGTGCTATTTTCCACCGACACTGCTAATTCCTCAAAAATGCATACTTTGCCCCTTTTCTTAAAAAAGAGAATGACTTCGTCTAAGGCTGCATAAAATCTGATCAGAAGTTTGTACTGAGCAGGAAACACAACTTCAGGAGCCTTGTCTGTTAGTAGCTCTTGGTACTTTTCACTAATGCTGGGGGCTTTGAGAATTTCTTGAGCTTCAATCTCGGGTTTAGTCCTGCCTTGCTCTCATAACCACTGGTCCTGATCGTCAGTGTTCTTCCTCTTTATGACGCTCTTGATTGTCTTGAGTGTCTCCTTCTTTAGTCTTGCCAGAACATTAGATCTACTTGTTGGCTCAGGAGTTTTATCCAGTATTTGATTTTTCTTATTTAAATTTTCAAACTTCTGTTTGTTGGGACATCTTACAAAATCGGGTTTGAATCCTGAACTTATATTTTTGCATAATTCTCCTTTACTAGATTTGCTCTCATATCCTTGCTCCTTATTTGCAATAACTTCCTTGATAACATCCAGGGAGGTAGAAGACATCAGGCTTAGGATTCTCTCAGCATCAATTTTAGATTTCTTCTTGAGTTCCCTCTTCTTGTTTGAAATTATACTGACATCTTGGTTGAAAGTTACTTGCTTTCCAGCATCTTTAGTTACTGTATTGTTACCCTCCTTCTTTTTAAAAATGGCGGTACCATTGTTGTGTTTGGACCAATGAAGCTGGGAAGCACATGGGATGACCACTTCTCTCTCCTCAGACCCTTTCTTGTAGGAATTAACTTTCTTCCTCTTTCGATTAGTTCTTTCTGCATTGTCAGTGTTTATATGAATTTTTGAATCCAAAAAATTCGAGGGCTTGCTGGAAATTTGAAATTTGAATTCCTCTTGACAACCCTGAACCTTATTTTGAAATCCTGCTTTATCTCTATCTTCTGGACTGGTAACTTGCTTTTCTATAGCATTTTTGGTTAATGCTTGATCTGAAAAAGCCTTACTTTTACCATTTGATTCCTTAACCCAGTCAGCTTTGCCATTCACTACCTTAGCATCAAGTTGACACTCCAGTGGTTTCAAAGTCTTCTTCATAGAGAAAGTTGCTAAATCCTTCTCCTTCATCGACTTCTTATTAGTCGAGAAGGGCTGGTTTGCTGTGCTTTTTCCTTTATTCCTGAAAAATCTATTTACAGTATTGTTTCCAATCATTATGTTCGCCTTTTAATAATTTATAATTCTTCAACTCATTCTTTTTAAGGAGGGGTTTTGGGGTTTTGGGGTTTTGGGG